GAAAGAATACAGGTATTTCTGGTTCCTCCTCTCTTGGCCTGACCATTACCATCTTAATGAACACTATACTCCAAAGGAAAATAAGAGTAACCTGTAGCCAAAGGCTAGGTTACCTTCTATGTAGACATATGGTTAAAAAAAAAAAAAAAAAAAAAAAAAAAAAAAAAAAAACAAAGGCTAGGTTACCAGATGGCAGATTTCTGAACAGAATAGGAACATGAGTGAATCAATTTGAAGACGATGAGCTAATGGTAAGAAAGATCCTGCTCAGGCCGGGCGCTGTGGCTCACGCCTGTAATCCTAGCTCTTGGGAGGCCGAGGCGGGCGGATTGCTCAAGGTCAGGAGTTCAAAACCAGCCTGAGCAAGAGCGAGACCCCGTCTCTACTATAAACAGAAAGAAATTAATTGGCCAACTGATATATATATATATATATAAAATTAGCCGGGCATGGTGGCACATGCCTGTAGTCCCAGCTACTCGGGAGGCTGAGGCAGAAGGATCACTCGAGCCCAGGAGTTTGAGGTTACTGTGAGCTAGGCTGACGCCACGGCACTCACTCTAGCCTGGACAACAAAGTGAGACTCTGTCTCAAAAAAAAAAAAAAAAAAAAAAAAAAAGATCCTGCTCAAATCCCCCAGCATTGCGGCAAATCCCTGCCTAATGGTCTGCACGCCCTGATCAATGCCCCTTATTCAATAGATTATATTCGTGACAAAATTCCAATACAACACAGGCACTGGAGTGGTTGCGGAGTTCATAATGGGCTCTGAACTACGGCAAATGGGAGTGAGGCTGTAATCTACTCCCACATACAAAAGACAAACTGTCAGTTATCTGTGGACACAGCTTATCCCTACTCTCAAGGCGCCCCGCAGAGCTCTCACCCGTAGGAGGCGCTCCAAGAATGTTTGTGGCCTCAGGGAGCCAGGGGTGCCACTGCTCTTGGAAGATGGCCCGTGGGAGACCGGCAACCAGCCTTGCCCCTTACACTGCAGACCCACCTGCGATCAAAGTTAAAACTGACCCACAATCAAAACAACTTCTCTGATTTAGTCTTTGAAAGCCAGGCAGATTAGTTAACAGTCCAGCCAAGGAGGCCCTATGCTCCGTCTCAGTCATTTCATTTCAACAAAGGATAGGACCTGTGACAAGGCCTGGTGGGGAGGAGGAGGAGGAGTGGAGCTGCATGATGCTAAGTGTGGGGGTTATTGAGCTGAAAAACAAGACTCTTCTCAAGAAGCTCACGGGCTAGTGGGGAAGAGGACCCTGGAACAAACAATTATAATTATTTGATAATGAGTAGTTCCCCAGTTAGTTGAGCAGGCATCGTGCTAAGTGATCTACCCAATTACCCTATGATATGAAAATTATACCCATTTAACAAATGGGAAAACTAAGGTTCTGAGAAGTTAAGGAGTTTGCCCAAGCTAATAAGCAGAAGGGCCAGTACTGAAACCCAAACAGTTCAACTCCAGAGCCTGCACTCCTGGCCCTGGAGTGCAGGAATGAAGCAGAGGAATGAAGGCCCAAGGAGTGTTTCTTATGGCCCAAAACTGTCAGGGGAGGCCCCCAGAAGCATGGGGAAGCATCATAGGCCCAAGGGGAGGAGAGACAGATGGCATCCTGGCTTGGTGGCTGCAAGCAGTCTGGGAGTCTAGACGTTCCAGCACAGGAAGCTGCCAGGAAGAAGTGCAAACAGAGTGCTAGAAGGGGTAGGCAGGGCCAGACTATTGGGGTCTGGTATGCTAAGGAGTTTGGACTTCACCCTGGACACCACACAGAGCCATGAGCATGTGGATCTGTTGGCTGACATGAGACCTGCACATAAGAATGTTCAAGCAGGGAACAGACTGGATTGTCAAAGCTGTGAGGCTGAAGTTTTGGGTGGGCCATTGGGGAGGCCCTGTTATGACACAGGTGGGGCAGTAGAGCCTGAACTGGGCAGGACAAGGAGCTCCCTGGTCAGAATCTGCCCAGTGGCCAGCCGGTGCAGCTCTCAGGCACCTGACAGGGACCAGCACCAGGTGGTTTAGCATGCTGGATCCCCCTAAGGCTCTCAGGAGTCCATCTCTGAATCACGCAGGGCCCCATGGATCACAGGACAGCACTGTCTAACCACTAGCCAATGACTACAGTTTCAGTCTCCAGGCCTCAATTTCCCCATTTGTAATATGAGTGGGTTTAACTAGATTGTTTGTTTGTTTCTTTGAGACGGAGTCTAACTCTGTTACTCAGGCTAGAGTGCCGTGGCATCAGTCAACCTAGCTCACAGCAACCTCAAATTCCTGGGCTCAAGCGATCCTCTTGCCTCAGCCTCCCAAGTAACTGGGACTATAGGTGCACACCACCATGCCTGGCTAATTTTTTCTATTTTCAGTAGAGATAGGGTCTTACTCTTGCTCAGGCTGGTCTTAAACTCTTGAGCTCAAGCGATTCTCCCACCTCAGCCTCCCTGAGTGGTGGGATTACAGGTGTGAGCCAGCAAGCCAGGCCTAGATTGTATTTATGTACTCCTCTCTGTTCTGACATTCTGTGAATTATTTTTTTTAATTATTATTATTTTTTGTGGTATGAGTTCCTTTATTTTTAATTTTTGAGACAGAGTCTGGCTTTGTTGCCCAGGCTAGAGTGAGTGCCATGGCATCAGCCTAGCTCACAGCAACCTCAAACTCCTAGGCTCAAGCAATCCTTCTGCCTCAGCCTCCCGAGTAGCTGAGACTACAGGCATGCGCCACCATGCCTGGCTAATTTTTTCTATATATATTAGTTGGCCAATTAATTTCTTTCTATTTATAGTAGAGATGGGGTCTCTCTCTTGTTCAGGCTGGTTTTGAACTCCTGACCTCGAGCAATCCACCTGCCTCAGCCTCCCAGGGTGCTAGGATTACAGGCGTGAGCCACCACACCTGGCCTAAGTTCATTTTACATTAGATCTCATGGTTTTAGGCACATGAGGCTCTCAGAAACCTCATTGAACACATTTGGATATTGTCCAAAAGCACTGCATCGGTCTTCTTTGGCACTTTTGGACAGTAATCTTGCTGGTGAAAGCATAAATTCAAATGATCTTTGCAGAGGTCAATTTGGCACTGTGATGGTTAATTCTGTGTTAACTTGGCTGGACCACAGAGCTCAGATAGTTGGTCAAATATTATTCTGGATGCTTCTGTGAAGGTGTTTTTGGATGAGACTAACACTTAAATTGGTGGACTTTTGAGTATAGTAGTCCCCCCCCCCTTGTTGATGGGGATACCTTTCAAGACCCCTAATGGATACCTGAGACCACTGACACCAGACCCTACACATACTGTTTTTTCAGTGTGATAACAGAGCTGGCTACTGAGTGACTAATGGGTGGATAGTGTATACAGCGAGGACATGCTGGTCAAAGGAATGATTCATGTTCTGGGATGGAGTGGGACAGCATGAGATTTCACCACGCTACTCAGAAGGCTGCGTGACTTATGATTCCTGGAATTTTCCATTTAGTATTTTCAGACTGTGGGTAACAAAACCCATGAAAAGTGAACCCATGAATAGGGCGAGACTTGCTATATAGCAGATGCCCCTTCATGATGTGGGTGGGTCACATCCAATCAGTTAGAGACCCTAACAGAACAAGCCTGACACCCTACCTCTCCCTCCTACCTATCTCCCACTCCAAGAAGTTCTGCCAGCAGACAGGTCTTCCAACTGCAACTCCTCCCTGGGTCTCCAGCCTGCCAGTGTACCCTGCAGACTAACCGAGCTTCTACAACTGTGTGAGACCATCCTTTAAAATAAAAAAAATAAATCTCTGTCTATATATATACATATATACCTATAGATATACATATCCTGTTGATTCTGTTCTCTGGAGAACCCTGATTAACACTGGCACCATTTATTAAAATTGCAAATGCTGGTTATGATCCATCCACACACCACAATATGCTGCATTTTACAGCTCATGTTACAGAAGGATGCAGACTCTTTATGTACTGATAAGGAAATGTCTCCAACATATATCAAGAAAAGTGTGTCGGCTGGGCGAGGTGGCTCACGCCTGTAATCCTAGCACTCTAGGAGGCAGAGGTGGGCGGATTGCTCCAGGTCAGGAGTTCAAAACCAGCCTGAGCAAGAGTAAGACCCTGTCTCTACTATAAATAGAAAGAAATTAATTGGTCAACTAATATATACAGAAAAAATTAGCCCGGCATGGTGGTACATACCTGTAGTCCCAGCTACTCGGGAGGCTGAGGCAGGAGGATTGCTTGAGCCCAGGAGATTGAGGTTGCTGTGAGCTAGGCTGATGCCACGGCACTCACTCTAGCCTGGGCAACAAAGCAAGACTCTGTCTCAAAAAAAAAAAAGAAAGAAAGAAAGAAAAAAAAAAGTGTGTATAGTGTACAATCATCTTCGTAAACAAAAAAGGGTAAAAAATAAAATAAAAATTCCTATTGTTCATATGTGTGGGGAAAACCTTCTGGAAGGATACCTAAGAAACTAGTAACAGAGGAGGGAAACTAGTAAATGGGAGACAGGGTAGAATAGAAGGGACATTGTTTTTTTTTTTTTGAGAGAGAGAGTCTCACTTTGTTGCCCAGGCTACAGTGAGTGCCATGGCATCAGCCTAGCTCACAGCAACCTCAAACTCCTGGGCTCAAGCAATCCTACTGCCTCCGCCTCCCAAGTAGCTGGGACTACAAGCATGCGCCACTGTGCTCGGCTAATTTTTTCTTTATATGTTAGTTGGCCAATTAATTTCTCTCTATTTATAGTAGAGACGGGGTCTCACTCAGGCTGCTTTCGAACTCCTGACCTCAAGCAATCCTCCCGCCTCGGCCTCCCAGAGTGCTAGGATTACAGGCGAGAGCCACGGCGCCCGGCCAGAAGGGACATTTTTGCTTTATACACTTTGGTAAATGCACATCCTCTATGACCCAGCAATTCCATATCCATCTATTTACCTTATAAATACACTTCCATATATGCAAAAATGACAGGTATACAAGGATATTCAGTTGTAGCAGCCTTTATCGGAGAAAAAGAATGGCAGTAACTTAAACTCCATCAGTTGAAGAAATCATCCATCTGAAGAAATGCAGTTCATTTGTTACCAAGAATGAGGCAGCTCTCTGTGTTCTGATGTGGAAGGATTTCTGTGTTAGTTAAGTGGGAAGAAACAAGGTACGGGATGGTGTGCACAGTATGCTACCATTTGAAGAACAATCAAACTATATGCATGTATATATTTGCAAATGCAGGAAATATCTCCAGAACACAGAATAAACTAATAACATAACACAGCTGCCTCTGGAGAGAACTAGGTAACTGGGAGATAGGAGCGGGGAGGGCAATTACTTTCCACTGTATCTTTCGAATCCTGGGCATGTTATTAGCTATTCAAAACTTTATACTGCACTTGACTAGTCTTTAAAAAATTAAAAAAATAAAAACAAAAAAACAACTTTATAAAACTTCTGAAGAGGAGGGGAGAGAGAGGAGGAGGAGGAAAAGCCACATGTTGAGCTGGGGGCTAAAGCCATCTGAACACAAAGTATTCATTTGTGATGCTTTTTCCTGATGCTTTTAACCTGAGTTTCCCCTGAACTGCTCTTACAAATTCTAACTTTGGACCACAGCTAACAACACTGGAGACCCAGGGCCTTCACCAAAACCAGGAAGACAATTTTTGAAGATAATTGCCTAGCTCTCTGCAATGCACGTGACTCTTTAATCCAGAAAGACAACTGGATTCAGACCTTTTCTTCAGAATCTTCTTTATTCATCATCTAACCAACAGAGCTGGTCAGCTTAAACCCAAACAAACTACAACCGCCTCAAAAGGCCCGCCTCATCACAACACATCAGGGCAAAACCCGAAGTGGGGACAGAGTTTGGCCTCAGTTCTTTTCAGAGAAAACCAACCATGTATTTCCACACAAGTGCCTCATGACAAACTGATTGGCAGTGCACCATAGGCACAAATCTAGCCAGTGTGGGAATCCTTGTCATTCATACAACCGCCTCTTCCTCAGCCATAAACAAGCTCTTGCATTTTAGGGAGGAGGGTGATCAGCAGGTTATCTTGAGCCATGGCACCATTTGTTTACTCCAGAACTTTGATGGGGAGGTGACAACTTATTTTCTCCTTAAATCTGGGATGCAGTAGCCTGTTAGAATATCTAAAACAAGTGCTAGAAGACAGGTAGGTGGCAGTGGTTGACTTAATAAAGAGTTTATAGGGTAATTGTGTAGGGCCCTTTAAATATTTAATCTTATTGTTTTTCAGAAACCCTTTGTACCTGGGCTCTAGAGACCGGAGTGAGGTGCCTCTCAGAGCAGTCATCCAGGGAAAGGAGGAGGGTAGGGAAGAGGGTCTGGGGGAGATGCAGGGGACAGAAATCAGCTGAAACACTCCATGCTGGTTCTGACTCGCTCCATCTCGTGCAGGAAGCTGTAGAACTGAGGCAAGGTTAATTCTGGGGAGAGAAAATTCAGCTTCAGGGAAATGTTTCCAACTCCACAGAATCATCCAAGAAAATTAATTTCAACCCAGAGATTTTTTTTTTCCTTTTTGGCTGAGTACATCTAAGCAGCTCTTCACGGGCAATCGATCAGAATAAAGAATTGAGAGCCTTTGAACACAGAAGGCTCTCAGCTCCATAGGAAGAAAACACGGGGGTGGTGTTAAAATGGCATAACTCCATGGCACCAAGAGAAGAAAGAGCATCATTCAGGGTGTTCAGTGTGATTTCTACAGCAAGAGCTTCTTGCTCTTCAATCTTCTCCAATCCCAGCCATTCCTTCCCCCTTCCCCTTTTCTTCCTTTTTTTTGAGACAGAGTCTTGCTTTGTTGCCCAGGCTAGAGTGAGTGCCATGGCATCAGCCTAGCTCACAGCAACCTCAAACTCCTGGGCTCAAGCAATTCTTCTGCCTCAGCCTCCCGAGTAGGTGGGACTACAGGCATGTGCCACCATGCCCGGCTAATTTTTTCTATATATATTAGTTGGCCAATTAATTTCTTTCTATTTATAGTAGAGACAGGGTCTTGCTCTTGCTCAGGCTGGTTTCGAACTCCTGACCTCAAGCAATCCGCCCACCTCGGCCTCCCAGAGTGCTAGAATTACAGGCGTGAGCCACTGCGCCCAGCCTACCTTCCCCTTTTCAATAAGGCTCAACTGTGGAGTCCTCAACCTGCCAATGGCTTATTAATAATGTTCCTCATACCATCTGTTACTAGAGGAAAGGCAGTGGAATGGCTACTCCACGGCTTGCTTAGGACTGTTTCTCAGGAGGAGATGATTTGTGGTAAGCTTCACGAGCCCACTTACATGAGAAGAACATGGAAAAAGTGAAAAGCCTTAAATGGGAATTCACTCACCTATATATAAATTTTCAGTTTGATTTCCTTTCTTTACCACCAACTTTAACTGATTAAAAAGAAAAAGAAATAAAAATTCAAATTAAAATGATGACACTTAGGCAAAGAAATTCTTAAAATCCTTTCACCCAATTAAATGTCAAAGCATTCAGAATCTAACTTGAGAGTTATACAGGAGTGATCTGGATCATCCACCACCAAAAATTCTGATAATTCCCACGATTACAGGAATAATCAAACTTTAACGAATAATATTAGAATCTATTAATCTGAAAGTAGGCATGTCAGTGACCACGCCTTTGGCTGACCACTTTGCTCTGTGATATACAAGGCACTTCAATAAAAACATCCATTTAAATGGATATTTAAAGAAACCCAATGTCAATTTAATCATCTTAATGAAGTAAAAAATCTACCCATTTTTCAAGGATCAGGAGAGGACTTACTTGTAAAAATATATTTCCCACTTTCTCCAACTCGCTGCTCCCAGATGTCACTGTGACACAAAAGAGAAAAATAACAAGTGGCTGGTTGAGGATTTACCCTGGAGACCCCAGTTTTGCAGGGTGTCCAGCAGAAGCCATGTGGGGGTGAGTATGAGGGCAGCACGGTGTGCTCTTCAGGAAGTCAACCTAATGAGCCACGGCTGGAAGCAGCTGCTGAACGTGGACAACAACCAGGATGGCAGCTGCTGGCCCAGCAGTGTCTGGGGACTGTGACCACGTCCTCCCCAGCGAGGCAAAACAGGTTAAAAGCCTCTGCAACCCAACCCACATCACCCAAAGGACCCAGGACTGGCTCTACCTAGTTACCTCCAAATTTCCACTCCATATCTATGAGCTGGTTAATCATCAGAGTCTGACCTATGGCCCAGCGGGCAAGGGTAGGGGCATTCTGCTTCCACTGGAACAAAAGCAAAAGGCAAAGTCATAACAATGGTAAAATTTTCCCTCTCCCCATTCGTTCTGCCCCAAACATAACCATGGTTAGTGTTTATACAGTCAGTGGGAAGAATGCAGAACCAAGGGCTCAGCCCATATGCACATATCTAGGGACAGGGAGTTTGGAGCAACAGATGACAATGCTTTCTTTCATTCCAAGATTTAATCTATGTTGGAACAAAAACTGTATGATTTTTCTGTAATCTTAGCACTCTGGGAGACTGAGGCGGATGGATCACTCAAGGTCAGGAGTTCAAAACCAGCCTGAGCGAGAGCCCGTCTCTACTAAAAATAGAAAGAAATTAATTGGCCAACTAAAAAATATATAGAAAAAATTAGCCGGGCATGGTGGTGCGTGCCTGTAGTCCCAGCTACTCGGGAGGCTGAGGCAGGAGGATCACTTGAGCCCAGGAGTTTGAGGTTGCTGTGAGCTAGGCTGACGCCATGGCACTCTAGCCCGGGCAACAGAGTGAGACTCTGTCTCAAAAAAAAAAAAACTGTATGATTTTTATATTCCACTTAAATCAGAGAAAAACATTAGCGATACACTGAATAGTGCTGGTTAAAAGCTTTACATATGTCATTCACGTGAAGCCAAATAAAAACCTTAAGCTGGGAAAATGACGCCTACAATGGATGGTTTTGCCTTAGTTGGCATTTCCCATTTTTTCCACTTCACAAAATAAAAGCAAGGGATGTTAATTAACCTTGATTAAGAAGAATTATACCTTTTCAGAAAAGTAAGTGGCTTTTTCCTCACTAAGACCTGTAAAAGAACAGAAGGAGACATTAACATAATAAAAAGCCACAAAGACCAGTCACCTTAAGCAATCTTGGGCAATGACCTACCCAGAGTTATAAAATCAGCCTGGACCTGCTCAGCTGTAAGACCCTTCTTCAGTGCACCTGGGAAGTAAGGGAGAAACTGGTTACAAAGGGCAAATCAATGAGTTAGTCAGCAATAAGGATTTAATGGGTGCAACCCATGTGGTATAGAGGACAAAAGGAAGAACCAAAGACTCCATGAAGTCTCCAGCCAGCTGGGGGAGAAAGGGCATCTGACACGGCTGGAGAACGAGAAAGATAGCACCTTTTGGTACAACACGCCCCAGCAAGTGTGGAAGACATTAGAGACAACCGAAAAGACTTCATGGATTTGAGGATGGGGTAACTGGTCTGAGGACTGAGTAAGGCTGCAGGTCCCTGGAGCAAAGAGGCAGGGGAACTCAACCCCAGGTGGGGAAGAAGGGGCAACATCCTAGGGCTACACCATGCAATGTGTGGCCACTAGTCACATGTGGTTATTTCAATTTTAATTAAAATTAAATGGGCCGGGCACAGTGCCTCACGCCTGTAATCCTAGCACATTGGGAGGCTGAGGCGGGAGGATTGCTTGAGGTCAGGCATTCAAGACCAGCTTGAGCAAGAGCGAGACCCAGTCTCTACTATAAATAGAAAGAAATTAGCCAAACATCTAAAAATAGAAAAATTAGCCAGACACAGTGGTGCATGTCTGTAGTCCCAGCTACTCGGAAGGCTGAGGCAGGAGGATCACTTGAGCCCAGGAGTTTGAGGTTGCTGTGAGCGAGGCTGATGCCACGGCACTCACTTTAGCCTGGGCAACAAAGCGAGACTCTGTCTCAAAAATAAATAAATCAATAAAATAAAATAAAATAAAATTCCACTACTCAGTCACACTAGCTATTTCAAGTGCTTAATAACCACATAGGACCAAGGACCACTGCATTGGATGGTACAGATTATAGGCCACTTCTGTCCACAGAGAAAGTACTACTAGGTAGGTGCTGTCCTAGGAAATCAGCTCCCAGGCAGTACACCAAGATGGTATAACAGGGCCAGGCACAGTGGCTCATGTCTGTAATCCTAGCACTCTGGGAGGTCGAAGCAGGAGGATCAATTGCTTGAGCCCAGCAGTTTGAGGTTTAGTGAGCTATGATGACGCCACTGTACTCTAGCCTGTCTCAAAGAAAAAAAAAAAAAAAAGATGGACTAAACACTTTGGCCTCTATAACTCACAAGTCACTTTCCAGAGAGGCTGTCAAAACTTCCTCTCAGAAGCCCTAGGAACACTTTCCTGTGGGGCCACTTTGTTCTACTAGGTTCTAATTCCTGAAAACAAAGCAAGCAAACTGGCTTCTCAATGTTTAACCTGCAGGCTACAGCCTAGAGTCACAATTTGACAACCACTTTAAAAATTTCCACTTCTTAGTCTGCCAGAAGATGACTAATTAAAGAATAAGAAGACATCCACCACCATCAAGGGAAGACCCTAAACCCAAGTCCCCACCCCCACCTCACTCCAGAAAAACAACCCTAAAAGCAGTTGTACCCAGTAAAATCAACCATGTAAACAAAGGGAGGAAATCTTTTATCTCCAAAATCAGACTGAGTGAGGAAGCCACAGGAAAATAAAAAAGACAAGACCCTAGGAAACTTTAGCAATAAAGGCCCTCCAAGAAGGAGGCTACTTCCTAGCCAATCCAATTAACTCATAACTACCATGTGTACAGTTCCTAAGTTTATATCCAATTCAAATCCAGTATTTTATTTGATGATCCCAAAACACTGTGAAGTAGGGTTTATTACTGTAACCTTTAATTTGCCAGGAAACCGAAGATCAGAAAAGATTAAGCTTTTGGGGGGAGAAAATTTGGCAAATGCATATAATGAAAAGTTGTATTGCCAAGAATTCACTCAACAGATATGCCCCCCAAAGCACACTGAGATATACAGGAAGCTCTTTAGCAACATGGGTAGTAGGGATGAAAAGTCATGAATAGCCACGGTGATTTTAAAAATCAAATCAGATCATGTGTCTCCTCTGTTTAAAATCTTCTGATATTGGGGGGATGGGGGCATGGGCAATATATGTAACCTTAACATTTGTACCCCCATAATATGCTAAAAAAACAACAACTCTTATCTAAAAAAAAGAGAGGCTGGGTTCGGTGGCTCACGCCTGTAATCCTAGCACTCTGGGAGGCTGAGGTGGGCAGATTGCTAGAGGTCCGGAGTTCGAAACCAGCCTGAGCAAGAGCGAGACCCCATTTCTACTATAAATAGAAAGAAATTAATTGGCCAACTAATATATAGAAAAGATTAGCTGGGCATGGTGGCACATGCCTGTAGTCCCAGCTACTCAGGAGACTGAAGCAGAAGGATTGCTTGAGCCCAGGAGTTTGAGGTTGCTGTGAGCTAGGCTGATGCCATGGCACTCACTCTAGCCTTGGCAACAAAGCAAGTCTGTTAAGAAAAAAAAAAAAATCTGATATCTCCTGTTTCACTCACTATAAAACCCTTACATTGCCCTGAATGATCTGCCATCCTCTAGAACCCCTAAGCTCTCTCTGTTGCTTACTACGCTATTCCTGTAATATGCCAGGCAGGTACCAGCCTCCGGGCATTTGCCCTTGTAGTTCCCTCTGCTGGGAACACTCTTCCTGTGACCTGCACGCAGCTCATCCCTGGGTTGTATTTGGGCCTCTGCGTGTCTCTCACCCCTTGGAAAACATCTCTGACCATGCTACCTAAATTGCCAATACCCCTTGCTCACACCCTTGTAGGGCTATGCTTTTCTACATTGCATTTATAACTACCTGGCTTTATGTTCTACATTTATTATCAATTTTTCTAATAAAACATTGGTTTGGTAAGAATAAGGACTTGGTTCATTTTGTCCCCTGCTATGTCCTAAGCTGTTAGGAAAGTGTCTGGCACTATTTAGTGATTGGCACACAACAAAAACATGCTGAATGGAAGAATCCACACAATAGAATACTATGCAGCCCTTAAAAAAACAGGGTAGCTCTTGAAGTGCCAATTTGCAAAACATAATGAAAAAAGGAAAGGAAAGGCACAGAACAGTCTGCACAATATGATTCCTTTTGTGTAAGTAAAAAGGTTTATAATATATCCTTATTTATGTCTCTAATTATATCCTTATCTGATAGCTGAGCTGGCAGTTGCAAAACACATTTTTTTATTTTTTCTTTCAGAGACAGGGTGTTGCTCTGTTGCCCAGGGCTGCGGTGCAGTGGCACAATCACAGCTCACTACAGCCTTGAACTCATGGGCTCGGCGAATGATCCTACCACCTCAGCCTCCTGAGCAGCTGGAACTGTGGGCATGAGCCACCATGCCCAATTCAAAACACATTTTTTCTGAACGTATGCACATCAAAATTAAGAATGCATATCTTTGGGGAAAATGACTGAGTGGGACTTTCCCTTTTCTTTCTTTCTGTCACTTTAAAATTTTCTTTTTCTTTTTTTTTGAGACACAGACTCACTTTGTTGCCTAGGCTAGAGTGTCAGGGCGTCAACCTAACTCACAGCAACCTCAAACTCCTGGGCTCAAGCGATCCTCCTGCCTCAGCCTCCCAAGTAGCTGGGACTACAGGCATGCGCCACTATGTCTGGCTAATTTTTTCTATATATATATATTTTTTAATTTTATTTATTTATTGTTTTTGAGACAGAGTCTTGCTTTGTTGCCCAGGCTAGAGTGAGTGCCGTGGCATCAGCCTAGCTCACAGCAACCTCAAAGTCCTGGGTTCAAGCAATCCTACTGCCTCAGCCTCCCGAGTAGCTGGGACTACAGGCATGCGCCACCATGCCCGGCTGATTTTTTCTATATGTATTAGTTGGCCAATTAATTTCTTTCTATTTATAGTAGAGACGGGGTCTTGTTCTTGCTTAGGCTGGTTTCGAACTCCTGACCTTGAGCAGTCCACCCATCTCGGCCTCCCAGAGTGCTAAGATTACAGGTGTGAGCCACCGCGCCCGGCCTTTTCTATATATTTTTAGCTGTCCAATTAACTTCTTTCTATTTTTGGTAGAGACAGGGTCTCGAATCTCCTGAGCTCGAACAATCCAGCTGCCTAGGCCTCCCAGAGTGCTAGGATTATAAGTGTGAGCCACCATGCCCGTCTTAAAATTTTCTAACCATGTGCATACTTTTTTGCTTTTTTTTTTTTTTAATGCAAAGGTGGTAGAATTTTGGGCTATTTTTGTTTCTTTTCTTATACTTTTCTACAATTAAAAAAATAAATGTTACTTAAAAACAAAAAACGTTAAATGAATTAACCAGGGCTATAACAGCCAGCAAGTGGCAGAGTCAAGCTGCTTATAGACCAGAGAGGCCACAACCCAACTTCTTTCTACTCCAGGTCACTCTGATAGGCTATCTTGGTGAAGCAGGACCAGGCAACGCCTTGACAGTTACTGACAGCAAAGGTTACCAAGCTGCAGGGGGACAAAGAGCAAGCTCTTTATCCTGAATTACCCTGGGCGGGCAAGACCCAGCCTTAAAAACTATATTTGCATCATGCTAGGCCTCAAGCTCTTAACTTCTTTTTCAGCTTTTTCTATGGTGATTTCTTTGAACTAAGCAAATGCAAGCCACAAGACAGATCTGCAGCCTTTGACCCTATGTCAGACAGAAAGAAAACTGTATAAAGTCTAAGGGCTGGAGTTACCACAACATGTTACTTGGGGAAATTTAAGACTGTCCTTCTTTAAACACAGCTAACCATCTGGAGTGGTTTTAAAAGTCCTTGGGCATCACTTCTCACCAGAACAGATGCCTCAGCTCTCAGAGAGTATGGGGGACAAAACAGAGACACAAGTGAGGGTGAGGGTTTGCCAAGACAGTTGGCAAATCAGCAAACATTGTTCTTCTAGCCAAACATCTATGTGAGCTTATTCAGTGTAAGAAGGGAAGCCCAAAGAACAGCACCAGGCCTTGGTGAAGATTCCTGGGGGAGGAAGCAGAGGGGCAAGGATGGTGAGCCACATCTATCCTGTGAGTGCAGACCCTGAAGGCTGACCGGCTGAGTCCATCTGTGACACTCACAGGAACAGAGGTCACAGTCACTATACACTTATTTATGGAGTACCCCCCACATGCCAGCGCCCTGTGAGGTGCTGGAAAACACCATGAACAAGCTCTTCCCTTGTGAGGTTTACGTTCTACTGGGAGAAGAAAGACTATGCAATAATGTAACACATAAGCAAGCCATACTGAGTATTATAAGGTGATAAGTGTCATTGAGAAAAGCAACATGGAGGGTAAGGCTGGCAGTCCTTGGGGGACATAGATCAACATCTGATTAAATACCATTTGTGACTACTGTTCAATGCTGATTATTCCTTTTCTGTCAAGCCAGAAAGAACTCCTTGGGGAGTGGGAAAGGGGAGTTATCACCCTTTCATTAACACACACACACACATACACACACAAAACTATCAACCCCCCCCCACCCAGTTACTGATTAGCCACAAGGACTAGATATCTTGTTAAGTATTAAAATAAAAACAGGCTTAAACAGTAGCCCTGCTGCCAACTTATCTGTAATCTTGTCTAGGAGGTATCACATAATGATGATGCCAATCATAACACTAGCAGCAATACAGCTACCACTTACAGTGAAGGGAGCACTTTACATGTATTATCTTCCTTGACTCTTATAACAAAGGATAAGGTATGCTCTCAGGTACCCTTAGGTGTCAGAGCTGTTTTGCAGCCACAGTGAATAAGCAAGCAAGCACAGAACCACCATGAGGCAACGGAATGCTGGACCTATCTAGACCCTGACGGGAACAACCAACTATATAAACAAACAAAATTCATGAGACAATGGGGAAATCTGAACACTGATTGCATATTTTCCTTGTAGATATGATAACAGCATTATAGTTTGATATGGAGAAATAGCCCTTATCTTTTAGAGATAGAGAACTAGGTATTTAGGAATGAAACAATATGTCTGAAATGTGCTCTAAAATAATCCAGTGAGGAGACATGGGTGTGGTACAGATGAAATGATTTGGCCACAGGTTGATAATTATTAAATTGGTTTTAAGAATTACATACTAAATAGTAAAAGAAAACCATTTTTTAAAAAGACAAAAAAGATCAGCACTTCACAAAGCTTTAACTTGCCCCTCCCCCTACTAAAAAAAAAAAAGAAAAAAAGGAGGAGTTCCATGGCTAACTATGTTTCACAGACACTGGTTAAGCAGGGTTTTTTTTCTTTTTTTTTTCCTTTCAGCATATTATGGGGGCACAAGTGTTTAGGTTATGTGAAGCAGGTTTCTTTACTGTAGGACTTTTCAGAGCCTGAGATATGTCAATGTGTATGCCTGTGAATCTCCAAGTTTCCAAGGATGGGGATGTGGGGACAGTATTTTCTTTTTTTTTGAGACAGAGTCTCGCTTGTTGCCCAGGCTAGAGTGAGTGCCGTGGCATCAGCCTAGCTCACAGCAACCTCAAACTCCTGGGCTCAAGCAATCCTGCTGCCTCAGCCTCCCGAGTAGCTGGAACTACAGGCATGCGCCACCATACCCGGCTAATTATATAGATATATATTAGTTGGCCAATTAATTTCTTTCTATTTATAGTAGAGACGGGGTCTCACTCTTGCTCAGGCTGATTTCAAACTCCTGACCTCGAGCAATCCGCCCGCCTCGGCCTCCCAGAGTGCTAGGATTACAGGCGTGAGCCACCGCGCTCAACCGGGACAGTATTTTCTGACTCTGTCTGACCACTTTTTATTGATGGATGCACCAATTTGGGAAAGACTGATCTAGTGGGTTCTTGAGGCCCCTTCAGCTCTAACAAGCTGCACTTCTACAATGAGATCTTGCTGCATAGGAAGGAGTAAGGGTAAGAGAAGAGGAAGAGGATGAGGGCCCAAAGGCTATTATATTGCATATTAGATTGGAAAAGGCTAGAATGCCATACCAAGGCCTATAGACTTCATTATGCACAATAAACAGGTGAGAGGAGCACCATGAGCCCAGTTGTGCTGTAGCGAGTGCTCCAGGGCAAACTGGAGTCTGTATGAGAACAGGGGTGGAGAAATTACTGCCATAACCAGGCATGAAGGGCTAAGAAACTGTTCCAGGATGGCAGCCTTTGGGACTGGAAAGCAAGACACAGGAGGCTGAGGGGTAAGAAGGAGCCAAGAGACTTCCAAGCTACAATCTCAGATGCTTAGGAGAAACTAGAAGAAAGGGGAAAGCCCTGCAGGAAAGCCCTGCAGGAAAAGCATAGTCAGAAAGCCATGAGAACAAAAAGAAGAGTAAAACCAACAGAAATTGTTGAGAGCAAATGGAGAAGTACAGCAAATCACAGAGCTTAATTCTAGGCCTGAAAATCTCTAGGATATTAACTAATCCAGAGATGCATTAAGATCCCACTCATTAGGTGAAGAAAAGTTTTATCTATTAATTTGTTTTTTTATTTATATATATATTTATACTTATAGTTTTACTTTCTATTACCTGTGATCAAAATACTTCAAATTTATCTCCTAATTTGATATTGAGGTATAGGACTGAAAGCTACTTGATCTATCAATAATTAAAGGCTACAGTTTGACCGGTACCATATTAAGAACTTTACATATATTAACTCATTTATTCCTACCACCACCACCATAAGCAACTCTTATTACTCTATGTTTCAGGTAAGAAAACTGAGGCTGCAAAAGGCTGATCTGTCCATGGTCAAATAGCTACATTAAGTGATATGACTCAAACCTGAGTGAGCCTGCAAAGCCCATCTCTCTCTTGTTTTGTTTTTTTTTTTGGGAGACAGAGTCTCATTCTGTTGCCTGGGCTAGAGTGCCGTGGCATCAGCCTAGCTCGCAACAACCTCAAACTCCTGGGCTCAAGCAATCCTTCTGTCTCAGCCTCCCAAGTAGCTGGGACTACAGGCATGCGCCACCATGCTCGGGTAATTTTTTCTATATATTTTTAGTTAGCCAATTAATTTCTTTCTATTTTTAGTAGAAATGGGGTCTTGCTCTTGCTCAGGCTGGTCTCAAACCCCTGACCTTTAGCGATCCTTCCACCTCAGCCTCCCAGAGTGCTAGGATTACAGGCGTGAGCCACCACGCCCGGCCCAAAGCCCATCTCTTAACTGGTATGCTATGAGTTCCCCAATGTTCACTGTGTCTATAGAAAATGATCTACTATTAATATAAACACTGATAATCAATCATGCTCAAAAAATATTAACTCAACATCCTCTGGGAGGGTCACAGCATCTCCCAAATTCAGTTCAAGTGACTCAACAAGTACTGAGTACCCGCTCTATGTCATTCCTTTGCTTGTATCTATGATTTAGGAAGGAAGAGCAAGACCTGGCACTGACTTTGAGGAACTATCTGTTAGATAGACAGACACATACAAAACAGGCTTCAGCCCTCAGACAGACCATTCCCGGAAGTGTAGGCTGGAGAATGAGAATAAAGAAATGTGAGGCCAGGAGCAGTGGCTCACGCCTGTAATTCTAGCACTCTGGGAAGCCGAGGTGGGCAGATTGCTCAAGGTCAGAAGTTCAAAACCAGCCTGAGCAAGAGTGAGACCCCATCTCTACTATAAAAAATAGAAAGAAATTAATTGGCCAACTAATATATATATAGAAAAAAAACTAGCCAGGCATGGTGGCGTATGCCTGTAGTCTCAGCTACTCGGGAGGCTGAGGCATTAGGATTGCTCGAGCCCAGGAGTTTGAGGTTGCTGTGAGCTAGGCTGACACCACGGCACTCACTCTAGCCTGGGCAACAAAGCGAGACTGTCTCAAAAAAAAAAAAAAAAGACTTGTGGTTCTGCACTTTGGGCACCCATCCCACAGAAATATTCACACATATGAGTATGAGGAGGTCGTAAGAATGTTCACTGCAGCATTGTTCATAGGGGTGAAAAATGAGAACGATTAAAATGCTCAGCAATAGGAAATAGGTTAACTAAAAGAAGATATTAATACATTCAGATCAGCCACAGTGGCTCACACCTATAATCTCAGCACTTTGGAAGGCCAAAGCAGGAGGATCACTTGAATCTAGGAGTTCCTGGGCAACATACCATTATCCTGTCTCTATAAAAAATAAAAAAATCAGCCAGGTATGGCTGTAGTCCCAGCTACTTGGGAGGCTGAGGCAGGAGGATTGCTTGAGCCTAGGAGTTTGAGGTTGCTGTCTGTTATGATGATGCCACTGTACTCTAACCCAGGCAAAAGAGCAAGATTTTGTCCCAAAAACAACAATAACAAAAACATTTCTAGAAACAGGAAATAAAAGGGATGTGGGGACAGTATTTTCTTTTTTTTTGAGAGTCTCACTTTGTTGCACAGGCTAGAGTGAGTGGCGTGGCATCAGCCTAGGTCACAGCAACCTCAATCTCCTGGTCTCTCAAGCGATCCTACTGCCTCAGCCTCCCAAGTAGCTGGGACTACAGGCATGCGCCACCATGCCTGGCTAATTTTTTTTGTATATATATTTTTAGTTGGTCAATTAATTTCTTTCTATTTTTAGTAGAGATGGGGTCTCGCTCATGCTGGTTTTGAACTGCTGACCTTGAGCAATCTGCCCGCCTCAGCCTCCCGGAGTACTAGGATTACAGGCTTGAGCCACCATGCCAGGCCGGTAAATTTCATATTATACACATTTATCATAATAAAAAAGGCCCCATTTAAAAAAATTATTAGATTTTAGAGACAATGTCAAATTATTATAAAAGTTTCTGAATGCTTACTCTCAATTTCTGTAGTCATTGTAGAGGGGACAAGAGGACAGTTTGGGGACTGAACCCAGGATGCAGACTGAACTTTACTGCTCCACAGAACACCTCTACTATGCTCTGCAGCCTGGGTTCCCTCTCCAGACAGTGAGTCCCACCCACGTCTGGCTCATGACTGAAAAATTGCTCCCGCTCAGTGCCTTGAGCATACTTTGATGATTCATGCTTTGATGATTCATATTCAAGATAATGTCTCTGGCCATGGCTGCTAGGGGAGGTTACTCACCATTTGGAACCAGGAGGAGGCTTTTCACAATGCTTCTGAGGGGGCCAAGACTGATCTGATTGGTGGTGGCAAATTCAGACAGCTGAGCCAGAAACCTTTCTACCTGCAGAGAGGGAACAGCACAAGCAAGGCCTTCACTTTCTGAGCATCTCAGGACCATAGACCCATGCTCAAGAACTCACCTCATCACAAAATGCTTTTACCTCTTTTGGCTCAGTTAGGAAGTGGAAAAGCACTTCTGTCAGGGCTGAGAACTGCTGTCAAGAAAATAGCACAGAATATCAGTAAAATTTCTACTCCTGGGTGAGTGTGCCACATCCCCTCCAACTATAGACCCTTGAGAGAGACTAACAACTAACAGGTGTTGATACCTGTTTTGATCTTCTTAAAGTTACAAATGTTCACAATACCCACCACAAGTGTCAATATATCTGTGTTACTAAATAGTCTGAAAAACACAAATATTTTATTGGGATACTTGGGAGATATATACACTGAGATTGTGAGCATAAGCAAGCAGATGCACATATATGTCTCTAGGATCCGAATACATGCATGCACACACACACACACACACACACACACACACACACACACACACACACACATGCACAGAGAGGAAAAGGTCTCAAAGAGGAAATCACCATCACATTAAGAGAAGTTTCTTCTGTGTGGTGAGACTGTGGATGATTTTTTTTTTTGAGACAGAGTCTTGCTTTGTTGCCCAGGCTAGAGTGAGTGCCATGGCGTCAGCCTAGCTCACAGCAACCTCAAACTCCTGGGCTCAAGCGATCCTTTTGTCTCAGCCTACCAAATAGCTGGGACTACAGGCATGCACTACCATGTCCGGCTAATTTTTTAAATATATTTTAGTTGGTCAATTAATTTCTTTGTATTTTTTTTATAGTAGAGACGGGGTCTCGCTCTTGCTCAGGCTGGTTCTGAACTCCTGACCTTGAGCAATCTGCCCGCCTTGGCCTCCCAGAGTGCTGGGATTACAGGCGTGAGCCACCGCGCCTGGCCGGATGATTTTTATTTTCTTCCGATTTGCCTATCCATGTGTTCTGGTCCCCATGCTCCCAGGTCCCCCATAAACACCTTGCTACTTGCATACAAAATAATTTAAAAAAAATTTTTTTTGAGACAATGTCTAGCTCCGTCACCCCAGATAAGAGTACAGTGGTGTCATCCCAGTTCACTACAACCTCAAACTCCTGGGCTCAAGGGATTCTCCTGCCTCAGCCTCCCGAGTAGCTGGTACTATAGGGACAGACTACCACACCTGGCTAATTTTTTCTATTTTTAATAGAGACAGGGTCTCCCTCTTGGCTTAGGCTGGTCTCAAACTCCTGAGCTCAAGCAACCCTCCGTCAGCCTCCCAGAGTGCTAGGATTATAGGTGTGAGCTACTGCGGCTGGCAAAAAAATATTTAGTTTTACCACTTCATTTATACACTATCTTAGAAGAGTCTTATTGTTTTGTGCACATTAATCTTCCTTTCTCTTTCTTGGTACTGTGTGATTGGGGACTGAATGTTTGTGTTGTCCCTGAATTTATATGTTGAAGCCCTAACTCCCAATGTGACAGTATTTGGAGACAGGGCCTGTTAGATAAAAAAGGTTAAGTGAGGTCATAAGAGTGGGGCCCTAACCCCATGGGGCTGGTGCCCTTATAATAGGAAGAGACACCAGAGTTCTTTCTCTCTACCATGTGAGACACAGTGAAAAAGTAGCCATCTACAAGCCAGAAACAGAGACCCTACCAACAAGTGAATTGGCTGGCACTTGGTCTTGGACTTCTATCCTCCAGAACTGTGAGAAATAAAAGTCTGTTGTTTAACCCACCAAGTCATTGGTATTTGGTAGCTCAAGCAGACTCATGTTCCCTCCCAATAGGCAGTGTATATGGGTGGCATAGTGGGAAAAATCAAGATACCAGTGTTTAAAAAACCGAGATGAATCAGAGTTCTGCCATTGACATTTACTATGAACTTGTGCAAAGCACTTAGCCCCTGTGTCTCAGTTCTCACAAAGAAAACAAAGGCAAAATACATAGCTTCCAGAACAACACTAAAGGTAGCATATGTGAAGCCTTTAGCACGGTACCAAGCTAGAAGCTAAACAAATGGTAGCAATTACCATAGCCATAATTAGAGTCACTATACCCTTTGATCCACCTTCTAGGAGCAATACAACTCCTCCCCTTAGGAGTCCTTATTTTCTATGAACAATACAACATTAAAAAAAAAAAAAAAGATTATAGGCTATGTTAAATGGACCTAACCCTTCCACTATGACACCTTAAATTCTGCATACACATCTGCCAGGGCTCTTTGTTATTTTATTCTAAAATGTATTCTATTTTAAAATATAAAACTAGTTTTTGAAAATATAAAAGTAGGCTGGACCCCATAATATGCCGAAATAAAAAAAAAAAAAAAACAGAGAGAAAAAAAAAGTAGGCTGGGGGAGGTGGCTCACGCATATAATCCTAGCATTCTGGGGGGCCAAGGCAGGAGGATTGCTTGAGGCCAGGAGTTTGAGGCTAGCCTGCTCAAGAGTGAGACAACATCTGTACAAAAAATAGAAAATTTAGCCAGGTGTGGTGGCACATACTTGTAGTCACAGTTATGTGAGAGGCCAAGGCAGGAGGATTGCTTGAGGCCAGCAGTTGGAGGTTGCAGTGACCTGTAAGGACACCACTGCACTCCAGCCCAGGCCACAGATAGAGACTCTGTCTCAAAAAAATAAAAAAGTAATATGTGCAAGGTTTTAACACATTTACTGTCATCTGCCATATGAGTTGTATTCAACTCAGGCTAATTTTGAGCCTGGGGCATGTGAAGCAAAACCCTGCAGTTGGTTCATGAAAATCTTACTTGTTGATGTTCTTATTGTTACATTAATATTGACAATTTAATCTAAAAACATGGTTTGCATTGCATATAACTCACACAGAGAAAACAATGAAGAATAACAAATTAGGCCTGGCGCAGCAGCTCACACCCTGGGAGGCCGAGGCGGCCGGATAGCTCTAGATCAGGAGTTCAAAACCAGCCTGAGCAAGAGCGAGACCCTGTTTCTACTATAAATAGAAAGAAATTAATTGGCCAACTAATACATATAGAAAAAATTAGCCAGGCATGGTGGCACATGCCTGTAGTCCCAGCTACCCAGGAGGCTGAGGCAGCAGGATCACTTCAGCCCAGGAGTTTGAGGTTGCTGTGAGCTAGGCTTACCATGGCACTCACTCTAGCCTGGGCAACAGAGTGAGACTCTGTCTCAAAACAACAACAACAACAACAACAAAAAAGAATAACAAATTAGAAAGGATCATTTTGTTTTAATAAAACATCGTGGCCCCAGGGAAAAGTTTTTTTTCTAGTGTGACAATCAATGTGTTAAAAATATCCAACCATCTGAAGGTCCAGTAACATCAATCCATAAAAAAAGAAAAAAAAAAAGATCCAATCAGTACAAAAGAATATAAAATAAAATGTTTCTCTCCCCCCACCTGCCTCCTAGGTCCTATTCCCTACAAGTAGTTACTGTTAACACCTTCTATGCCCTTATGGTCATTTCATTTTCATTTAATTTTTTAAAATGCAAATGCGATCACACTGAACCTATTCCCTGGACCTTGACTTTTTCCACTCAATTATATTTTAGAGATTAGTTGTGTCAGCAGATATAAATCTATCTGGTTCTTTTAACAACTGCAAGTCAACTGTATAGACAGCATAGTGTATGTGTGTGTTGTTGTTGTTATTAGAAATATTGTTGCAAGGAATATCCTCCCACATGTTTCTTTGTGATATATACAAGTATGTCAGTAAGATAAATTTGTAAAATGTATCCTAGGTCAAAGGATATATGCATTTTAAATTCTGAGATAATGTTGCCAAATTGGCTTGCAAAAAAGTTGCATGGATTTACACTCCCACAAGCCAATGGCATAGAAGTGTAGCCTTTCTCAAAACTTCCTAAATATTCTCTGGAAACATTCTAACGAATGTTGGTCCAGGAGTTGTCTCTCTACAGTAAGATATTGGGTATTAGCCTTGTATAACTGCTGATTCTATATAGTAAAAACAGGAACAGTCAGGACTGGCTTAAGAATGTATCCCCAAATGGTTTCTGAGTTTTCCGTTTTTTATTAATTTTTTTTTTCCTGCAAATCTGTGGAACTGTCAGATCTCTGGCCAACTGTATTTCCTATGCCACCCAGGGCCTTCTAAAAACCCAGCAGTTGACAAGAACTCCAGCTGCTTTTCCATTTCCAGGCCTCAGCCAGCCCAGCATTCAGACCCCAGCTAACTTCCTTTCCAGTCTCTCCCCTCCCCCCATCAAGAGAGTCCTCAAGTTAATCTGATCTGTTGGCTGTTTCTGCCCCCCCCATCCCTATCTCTCCACCTTTCCAAACCCTCTTTATCCTTCAAAACTCTGCCAAAGATACCATGACACTCCCAACAATAATACCAGCTACTAGGGAGGCTGAAGATAACTTGAGTCCAGGAGTTCAAGGCCAGCCAGGGCAACATAGTGAGACCCTGACAAAAAAAAAAAAAAAAAAAAAGTAAGAGAGGAAAAGAAGAATGAAAAAGAAAGGGATCAGCTGGGCGTGGTGGCTCACACCTATAATCCTAGCTCTCTGGGAGGCTGAGGTGGGCAGATTGCTCAAGTCAGGAGCTCAAACCAGCATGAGCAAGAGACCCCATCTCTACTATAAATAGAAAGAAATTAATTGGCCAACTAAAAACATATAGAAAAAATTAGGCGAGCATGGTGGTGCATGCCTGTAGTCCCAGCTACTCGGGAGGCTGAGGCAGAAGGATTGCTTGAGCCCAGGAGTTTGAGGTTGCTGTGAGCTAGACTGACCCATGGCACTCACTCTAGCCTGTGCCACAAAGTGAGACTCTGTCTCAAAAAAAAAAAAAGAAAAAAAGAAAAAAAGAAAGGGATCTACCCAGATTCTCAACATCTGAGGCTCCCTTTTGAAACCTTGCCTGAGGGCAGCTAGAGTTTCCAATCCTGATAAGGAACACAAACATGTCTTAGCAGAGAAGCTGCTTCTTAGTATGGCTTTGTATCCTCACAGAAACTTAAATGTTGTAAGTGCACAGTAAGCATTTGCTGAATAAATCTCCCCTAAACACTTTCCCAATCCACCTGCATAGGTGCCTCTCCCTGGAATGCTCACCCACGTATGACTATCTATCCATGTGTATTAAAATCTCAACTATTCTTGCCAGCAAACA